ATTTTAAACCACCACTTTTAACAGAAGGAAATGGATAAAAGCAAAATACCGGTAGTTTTCCTTTTGGCTTAAAATGACATTTTCTGAGATGTTATTAAATTATCTTCGCATTAATAAACTTAAGGAGTACTTAAACATTTTAAACTAAGACATACTCAGATCAGGAAGAGCAATCAAATTATGTTTAAATGTAAAGCATATCCATGGAAAATATTACATGAATATGTTTAATATACATTATAGCCAGAAGAACCCCAACCGAAGAAAGATAATACAAGTAATGATAAATCTATTCTGAGATTCACTTTACTTTTAGGGACAGAACCTGTTCCCCTGAGATGTATTTAGATACTAAAAAAGGAATCTCAAATCCGGGAAATTCAGTCAGGATTTTTGTCGAGGTTATAAATTGGTGCCAGGGAATGAAAACGAACTTTCATTGTGTTGAGTCATTTAACTGCCTTTCCCCCCCCTTTCAAGCAGGTAAATGATATAGTTCTAATCAGCCATAACTCATTAATAGTAGAATTATCTTATTTAAGGCACATAATCTATAAATGAGTCTGCTGCGTGTTCATGGGTAAAATTTTAAGTTTTATTTGAAAGGAAACTCAGGAACACTGAGGCCTACTCACTGTCTTGCTGTGAGAAACAGAAAACCTTTAGAGTATAAATGATTTCATTATCTTAGATAAATAATCCTCTACCATCATATAGGTTGTAATGAAAAGGACCAAGGAAACAGATAGGATGTTTCTTATTCTTTACCCCTATTTACAAAAGGGAGTAGAGTGGACACTCAGGAAATCATCTTGGAGGACAGAGCCTATATTGTGGACACAATATCTTAAGATTTTTTTCTGACAGTGAATTCTTTTTTTTAGCTAACAGAATGCCAATCTAGCCTTAACAAGTAACCACTGAATGACCCGAAAGGAGTCCAGTCCTCTGGTGTAATAAGTACAAAGCAGTATGCCCTATAGTCTCTTTCTTGTTGTTCTCTGTGAGGAGAAAAGCTCCCTTACACAAGAGTAAAGAATGTGCACGTGCTAAGCTAAACAGCCTGGGACCATCTTCTATTTAAAAGGGGGTAGCTCCTTGGAGGTGGTCAATGTTTTTGACACAGAGCATCTTTGGATGTGATAGACACGTCGTGAACTCCCTTCCCCTGACTTTCAAAAATATTAACTCGGAGAGAGCCTTTTGTTTGAAGGAAGGAAACCTGAGCTACAAAGTTCCTTCCACTTGGAAACAGGAAGATATTAATGGTTACAAAAATTTACTTATTGTTTTAAATCCCCTTGTAGCCATTTGCTCCGTTGAACTTCCCCCTGAAAAGCTTTGTAAGTGCAGCTGTATCCACGGCGAAAGAGAAGGGGACGGAGCACCCCGTGTGTCACAGCTACCGCCTGAAATACTGCCATCCTGTAACAGGGTTTTATTTAGTTATTACAACTATCTCTCTGTAAATGACAGTTAGGATTATTTAAGATTATGTTGTAATCCTTTTAATCCTCAGTGCTTTAAATTTCAGGCTAAACACCAAAGAGCAAACTAGCACTTAGCAGGAATGTTTAAAACATGTGATTTGAACATAAATCTTTTTATTCACTCTTTCCCTGATGAAGACCTCACGCTGCTCTTAAGTTAACTAAGAAAACTTGTACCAGAGTTCATTACAAATCACTCGGTTGCTAAATGCTTTCTTGAACTACATCAAACTTGTGATGGTCCTTGACAATTATGCTAAATGCGGAATTAAATGAAGGTTAGCAGCAATGAACATTTACTGATATAACTTAGAATTTGCGTGACCTTTTATAAGTACAACACGCCTTTCTGGGTTTGTGTGTACGTGTATGGAAATGGTCATTCTATTTCCTAAGGCGAGCTATTAGACACGGGTACATACATGGACACACATACATTATATCACAATCATACATTTGAAACACATACTAGGACTTGTCTATACATACTTTATTATAGAAGCTCCTAATGATTTTAAAAAAATAAACCATTAAGAAGTACCAATTAGGCCAAAGAGTTTTCTGTTATAAAACAGGCAGATGTTCTTGAACTCAGTCAGCGAGCATCATTCTGACTTACTGAGAGTTGTTGAATACCAAACCTTAAAACTTAATTAATATTGTCACTGTTATGTTACCATGTACCAATCAAGTAAAATTGAATCTACATCAAGAGTTTAGTAAGGCTTTGACTATGAAGGAAATTTGGCTTTTAATACAAAAAGAAAATGAACACCTTAAATGTCCCAATGGCATATACAAATGAACGAGACAAATGAAATCCTTCCATTTTTGTGTGTCACAGATGTGTGCTTCTGAGTCTTCCAGGCGCATAATTTTTATTTGTTTTCCTATTCATGTTAAGTTCGGCTTCTCTACAGACGTTGTAATTATGTGGCGTATAATTGCTAATCCACCAACTTTTTAAAGACAGATTTCAAATTTTAAATTATTTCTAATTTTGCTCTTCTTTGATTTTTCTTGAACCAAAAATCTCAATAGTCATTTGCTATCTGTAATCTATAATTCATAGACTGAGATTGAACACCAAGCCTAATCCAAACTTGGAATTTTAAAGCTATTTCTGATGTAGCACATCAGCTGAAGCTATGATGGTCTTTTTCAGTCAGGAAGAAACACTTCATTATTCTGTAGGTAATGAAACCCTTGTACACACACACTCAAACACCCAACAATGCCTTAATACCATGTTTTTGAGACATAATCATGTTTATTCTGATCATTTGAGAGTTAGACCAGCTAATGTATCTAATCAAATATTGATGCAAAGTCATCTAGATTTAGCTCTCTGGCAAATCCTTTCCTATGCTTTTTTGTTAACAGAACTATAAAAGCTATTTATATTGTTCCTCTCAAAGGGTTTACCCTTGTAGTCTGTATCTATGGAAACGTATTAGTAAATTTTACCTAAGTTCATGTGTTTGGGTAATGAAAAGATGTCAGCATGACAAGAAAACCACATGATTCACCCCAAAAAGAATGAAGTAGGAAATGAAATTGGAATCTTTCTTTAGCTTTGTTATTCACAGCATCCTTATAATCACTTCTTTCCTGTTTCTCTAAACTACAAGGGTACAAGACAAAAAGAGTTAAGCTGGATATAAGAACACTGATGTCCCATAAACTACTTACGTACCTTACAAACAAAAGTAGCTGGCAAAGCTACTCCAAAAAGCTACCAAAAGTGAGAATAGTTATTTTTTTTTTAATATCTTTGGAAGTACCTATATTCAGAAATATAAAAAGCAAGGAAAAATTATAGCAGGAGGCAGTCAGTCATATAAGGAAAGGTCAATCTCATGTCATTAATATATATTATCATACATATCATCAATGCAGGTGGCTTAAATATAAATCGATGTATATTATGTTCAAAGCTATGTAAAATTATGTGTAAATATTCTTCTTCCATATTGCAATCCTATATACATTGTATATATTTCACTATCCTCCTCATTTTTTATCTAACTTAACTTTTCAAAAGACTAACAGAGGGAACAGAAAAAGGCTACCTTAGACCAACTCCAAGAGTTTCTATTGTCCAAGAATTATGTGAATGTCAAATTTTAATGTCTTTATTTTATGACATGGGGACAAGGATGCTAAACTCATAATACATAATATAACAACACCACTTAACTCACCCAACCTAGTTCAGAACTATTCATACTCATCATCCAGGTTATAATAAAAGCTAGGGATATGACCTCTAATTTTTTTTTATTTATTGTAGAATAACAAAAAAGAGTAAGAAATTGGGAGGCAGGCTATGTCACTGATTTACAATTCCTCTCTTCAAAACAAAATCTATTTTTCTTTTCTTGATTCTGTAAATTCAGATTCTAATCACTTTTGGCTATATTTAGTCCTTTGATTTTAGGCAAGTATGTTTAATTTTATTTTTTTCTTCTTTCTTTCTCTCTTTTGGTAAAAAGAAATAAATCTCCAGGATATAAAAAATGAATGCCTGAATAGAATAAAAGCAGGACCAGAAAAATAAGTTATTCTAGAAATGTTAACGTGGGTCCGGTTTATTTGGTAGACCTGGATTAGCATCTGGGAAATGCAGAACTGGAGACCAGTTCTTTTCTCCCCAGGGAGAGCTCAGATAGGAAATGTCACCTATCTACACTTCTATAAGACCCAATATATTAATTTCACTGATGCATTTAAGAATGGAATTGACCTTTTTTCAAGAGCCAAAATGGTCTTAGGAGGCATTTAATATAGTAATTATAATAATCTAGTTCCTGGCTACTAAATGATATAAATCCTAATATACCTAGAAAATTATTGGTTACTTTGGAAATATAAAAGTAAGTTAAATCTCACATAAAGATAGAAAAAGATAAACCTCCATAATTTAAAGTTATTAATTGCCAAAGGGATCTTAGTAACATCATATATGAAATATTCAGTTTTCTCATTTCCTTTCTCTCAAGGATCTCATCTGGTTCTTTTCATTCAATGGAACATGATTGAAATTATTAATCATAGTTATTTTTTCCCAAAAATTAAATTATGCAATACAAAAATATCCAATTTCTATAGCTTTTCAGCTCTTTCCATCCCCCTAAGTTACACTGGTAAATGTAATGTAGGACTAGGGGCAGAAATGGAAATGAATGCAAAAAGTTTATATCTGAAAGTTCCACAATAAATCTATTTAAGTCAAACACCCCAAACAGTTATCAAATACAATGCAACACTCAATGACTTTGAGTGTAGAATTAGTCAAGACACAACATATATTTCCTATTTAGATAGCAACCAGTAACCAAGGAAAAGCCACAAAACAAACTAAAATTCAACAAGGAGGTGAAATCAGTTTTTCACAGTGACCTTCAAACAACTAGTTCATGCACATGAAAACATCACAACAAGGAAGTATATATTGAGAGCTCACATTTAGAATAATAGGAATAAATTTAATATACATAACATTCTTACCTGAAAGACATTCTTTCGGCTTGATTTTTCCTTGGCCCATTCAATATGTGCTCCACACAAATCCACACTTTCTGGTTTGTGCCCAGTTTTCTGTAAACAAAATTGAAATAAGAATAAAAAGCATACATCATTGGTGATGCATGTCAGGAAAAATAAAAGTTTATTGAGTTAGCAGCTTTACATATTTATAGTATAAACCCTTTCTTTTTCTTTTTCTTTTTTTTCAGTTTCAAAGAGCTATCTGCCCCCTCATGATCATCACGGCATTATTTACAATAGCCAAGACATGGCAACAACCTAAGTGTCTGTTGACAGAAGAATGGATAAAGAAAATGACATGTAGATACAAATATACAGATATAAATATCGATCCACATGGAAAAATTATTCAGCCATAAAAAAGAAGGAAATCCTGCTATCTGGGACAATATGGATGAACCTTAAGGGTATTATGCTAAGTGAAGTGTCAAACAGAAGACAAATACTGCATGATCTCACTTACATATGGAATCTAAAAAAGTCAAACTCCTAGAAACAGAGAGTGGTTACCAGGGGCTGGGGAAATAGGGAGATGTCGGTTAAAGGTACAAACTTTTAGGGGGCGCCTGGCTGGTTCAGTCAGTTAAGCACTCGACTTTTGGTTGTGGCTCAGGTTGTGATCACATGGTTGTGGGATCGAGCCCCAGGTCAGACTCCGCACTCAGCGTGGAGTCTGCTTGAGATTCTCTCTATCCCTCGGCCTCTGTGCTTTCTCTCTCTCTCAAAATAAATAAAGTCTTCAAAAAAAGAAGGTACAGACTTTTAGTTAGAAGATGAATAAGTTCTCTGAATCAGTTGCACAGCGTGGTAACAATAGTTAACACTACTGTATAATTGAAAGTTGCTAGGAGAGTAGATTTTAAACATTCTCACCACACACACACACACACACACACACACACACACACAAAGGTAACTATGTGATGTAGTAGATGTGTAAACTAGTATTAACGCGGTAATCACTTCACAATATTTACATATATCACGTCATCACTCAGTACACCTTAAACTTACACAGTATTGTCATTTATATCTCCATAAACCGGAAGAAAACCCCAAATTTAATAAATGTTTATTAGGTGCCAGCTGTGCACCTTTTGGAAGTTCATTTTTCAGACTTTTCAGACAATACATGTGAGTATATGTATATTTGTATTTAATGAATTTAATTTAGACCAGATAGATTATAGCATGGGCTTCCTTTTGCATGAAACAATGTGGAAGTTACTTAAAAACTTCAGTAATTCATAATAATTAACGGGGATATTATCTATATTTGTTTCTTCGTATTTTATTTTATTTTTTTAAAGATTTGTATTTATTTATTTGAGAGAGAGCACAAGCAGGGAGAGGGAAAAGCAGGCTACCTGATGAGCAGGGAGCCCTACACTGGGCTCAATCGCAGGATCCTGGGATCATGACCTGAGCCAAAGGCAGATGCTTAACTGACTGAGCCACCCAGGCACCCCAATTCTTCGTATTTTAATTTTATTTGAGTGTATCATATTTATGTAACTTTAAATTTCCATAACTCAGTACATTAAACAAAAGCTCACTTGTTTGGGAAATTTCTTTATTTTCAAAGGAAGTAATGCCATATTTCAAAAACTCCAACTATTTTCAGATATTCTGAGCTACTCTAGTTTTCTCTATAAATTGAGTATTTTTCTCAAACAATTTTTCCATAGACTAAACTTTTAGTATAAGAGGCATATAATATTTTAGACAATATTTTAACAGTATGAACTTTACTTTAAAACATGAAATTATGGGGGCTCCTGGTGGCTCAGTCAGTTAGGTGAACTGACTCTTGATTTTGGCTCAGATCATGACCTTGGGGTCATGGGATCGAGCACCACGTCAGGCTCCTCACTGGGTGGAGAGCCTATTGGGGATTCTCTCTCTCCCTCTGCCCCCCCCCACTCCCGTCCTCTCTCTCAAGTAAATAAATAAATCTTTTTAAAAAAATAAATAAAACATGAAATTATGGAAGAATGGCAAAGTTGCTATAAGAAATTTGTTCACAATTGTTGCCTCATAGCCAGTATGTCCAATTCTATCAGTTTAATAGAAATAGACTATTTCTTTAGAAAGGCCAGAAATATGGGGGATTTACAGTAAATTGTGAGTTGTTTTTTGTTTTTTCTGCTTGGCAACTAAATAAAATTTTCTTGGGATGGGAAACATTGCATAAGCCAAGCATAACTTCCCTTCAGGATAAATTCAGCTGTCAAGACAGCCGTGGAGAGCATATCTTTTCTCTGTTATCTGGTAGGAATCTCATGAGAAGCCAATCAAGATGAGGATGCCTCTTACAGATGCTTCAGCCAGTGAAATATTTTTACGGGTTCACTTGTACTCTGCCACCCAGGTGATCACTATCGTGGAAGACCTCAAAGCATGATAACGATGTTCATTGTTGAGTGATTTATGATGCAGAAAAATTAAAACAACCTGCTTCTTCTACAGTTAATTAGATTATGGGATACTTAGAATCAACAGAAATAATCATTAAGAGTATGTAACAAAAGAGATTATCTTTCCCATATAATGCAGCCCGGGGAAAAAAAAAGATGGAATTATTTTATAGAAGAAGCACTTTTAATGTGCCAAACGCTTTTCTGTTTTACGACTATCAATTCACTTAATTCTTTCAACAACTATATTAGGTAGGTACTATTATTATCACCCTGTTACAGGTAATGATATGCTAGAATATTTAGGTATACTTTCCCAAGGTAACACAAGTAGAAAAGGAGGAGCCCGGATTAAATGAGGGCAGTGTCACTCCAGAGTCTGCTCCTAACCACTGTGCAGTCCTTGAAAATTGAACATTCACTGCTATCACGTTCATGTTTAAACATGTAACATTTTGGGAAAAGATATGACTTTCTTATTAGACCCTAGTGCAGAGATATTGGTCTTGTTTCTGTCCTTCTCTGTTTAACTCGATCTTCCCATTGGGTCTTTACACCACCTGTTTACCTGGAAAACCTCCCAGTCTTCACGTGGTTGACTCCTTCTTAGCCATCAGGTCCCAGATAAATGTCACCTTGTCAGAGGTCTTCTCTGACTGCCTTATATAAAAGAGAGCTGTCTTCCAGCTTACTCTCTATCTCACTCCTTGTTTTAATTTCAATGCAGCCTTCTTCCTAACTGAAATTAACATTTATATTTTTATATGCTGTCTGTTTTTCTCCCACTAAAATTAAGCTCCCTGAGCTGGGGCCTGGTTTGCCTTTTCCTCCACTGTCTTTCCCAATGTATGGAACAGGGCCTGGCACAGAACTGTTGTTCAATGAATATTTGCTGAATTCATAAATGAAGGAAAAATACCAAAATGCAACTAGCTTTTGTGCTTTGGAAGTAAGGTTTGGGCATCTAAAAATTCCCCATGTTACAACAATTGCGATTTATATTTGGTTTAATTCTTAAGCTGTCTTTGCTTCGATATGGAAAAGTGAAAAACAGTTTAATGGACTCATGTGGATTGAACCCCGTATTTCACAGAATCATTCAATAGACATTAACTGCACACTTATTTTACATCAAGTGTTAGCCACTGTGTTGGGCACTGGGACTCCAGAGGTAAGGAAGATACTCACTCTTCCTTTCAGAATCCCATACCAGCCTCAGACTCTATATAATTTTCAGTAGACTTTCTCTCTATGGGAAAAAGCAATCTAAGCTTTTCCAGAGTTCTCACCATCCAGCTCTGCCACACTCTTCTCATCAGCATCATACATTAAATCCCATGGCTTTGGTCCTGGCTTGGATTTTTCTCAATCTGAACTCTGCCCATCATTCAGTCACCTTCCATTACCCTGCCCTTGACTCATGCATTCTTCATGAACCCATGGCTTCACCTCCTCTCCATTCCAGCAATCTTCATTCTGCTTTTCATCTAACAAATCCCATGTTCTGAGTTTTCATTACTTCCACCCTGTAATGTTGGCTTTTGATGTGATTGGAATCACCAGACCTTTTGTGTACCCCTCCAGGCCCTTCCTGGTTTCACTTCCTTCCACGAACAGGCCTATGTCCCCAACTCAGCAGCCACTTCAATACTCCCCCATCTCTCACTCTCTTGCTCTCCCCCATGCGATGATCCACTCCACACTTTCATCCGCTTTTCCTTCTTCTACCATTTTCCTCATATCCCCTAATTCTGGAGAAATAACTTTTGACTACTCAGAGTAGTAACATTACAAATAATGGCCACTTTCTTCAGCTGGGTTTTTAACTCTACTTAGGGGGAAAAAAAACAAAAAACAAAAAAAAAACCTGTGATAAGGACACTTAACATATCCATGAAATCATTACCAAGACCAATGTCATCAACACTTAGCAAACTTTTTTGTGTGTTCCTAGTCGCTTTCTATTCTTCCTCATAACACCTCTCTCCCAAGCTTCACCCCTTTCCAGTAGCCCATCAAATGGCGTTCTCCTAATTTACAGAGATCATACAGCCCTTGAGCTAGAACTTTCACCACTCTTTCCACTTTCATAGTCCGTGTAATCAAAATGAACAAACATAAACTTTAATAAATCCCTATAGGTCGTGCCCTCTGAAAGCTTTATATCAATTTCTCATTTATTCCTTACAACAGTCTTGTGCGGTTGCTACCATCGCCTTCAAGTTACAATGTGGAGAAACTCAAGCAGGGAGTGGTAAAGTGCCGTACATAAGTTCACGCACTTAATATGTGCCTGAGCTGAGCTAGGAATTCACTGTCCTCTGACTCCAAGTCCTAAGTTCTTGATCACAACACAATACATGACCTCCTCTCCATACCTAGCCTTTCCTCCTACTAGGTCACATGATGAGCATTAACATTTTCTATCTCTTTCTTGTAAGTGTCATCATTTCCCATATTCTGTTCTGGCTCCTGGACATTTGGATCTGAGTCTGTGATTCTGGTCCACCTGTCTAATGAACTCCCATGCCTGGCATGACAGTGTCATCGATGAACATCAAAAATCTCCTGGCCTGTTGTTGCCAGACAGTGCATGATCCACTCACAAAGCATGTCCTTTTCTCTCTCAGAGGA